ATCATATGGTGAAAAACTGACTTTGAAAAATAAATCTGCTCCTTTTTTCTTATAAAAGGCTAAATAAAACAAAAATATTGATGGTAATTTTTGACTGTGTAACTTAACAAATGGCTCCCCATACTTACCCTTCAGGTAAAAGAGAGAACCAGAACAGCTCCTTTGTCAGAAAAGCAACAAACTGGACTGAGTACATTCATCCTCAGCAAAGAGAAAAGATAGAATTCAGCACGACTCTCATTCTGCCCAAATGTAACGACGACTGATACAGCAGATAAAACTCTCAGCACAAAACAAACTGATCTGCATCAACCTGGACAAAAGATTATGTGATGAAATAAACTGGTTTGAACTTATCCCAGTCAAAAAACTGATAGTATTTTGTGTTGTTATGAAGACTTCATTTGCATTTAAGTGAACTTCTGCCATCTTGAATATCACATATAAATTACAGTGAAGTTATTTTCATTATAGTGAAACTAATTGTGAAAAAAACTATTTTTAGTTTTTATGGTTAAGACTTGTATCCCTTCAGTCATGGCAGAAGGAGAGATCTTTCGAAATTTTGTGTTATTTCCAAATAAAAGAAATGATGGAAATAATAGACGTTATTTCTCTGATGTGACTTTTGTCTTAGGAGAAAGGAACAAACGAAGCACAGGGTTTCTACAGATAAGCACCGAGGTCGCAGCCCTGAAAGAGCTCGTGAAAAAATGCCGAGAGACAAAATCAAAAAATGGAGACAGCCACGACACAGGTCCAACAAAAACACACATTTATAATCAGGGAAATGCAAAACAGAAAAAAAAGAATGAAAATGAATAATCATTTGTTTTTCATTTCTGTTCTCAGCAGCTGCAGCAGGAACAGTGAAGACAAAGACTTTTTGTCACCAAAACGTGACAAAAAGGGAATGAAGAAGAGACGAGAGAACAGGATGAATTCTGCTGACAAAAAAAGGAAATAATTTAAAATCTTACCAACTTTAAGTCATCACACTTGTCAGAAAAGAGGAATCCCTTTGTCTGCTRGCCATAATTGACAAACGATGAATATGATTGATGTAGCTGTGTAAATATGTACGGAAGAGGATTAGAGCCACTGAAAAAATAAAAAAAAAGATATTCTGACTTTTTTCTCAGAATTCTGAGATTAAAGTCAGAACTCTGACTTTTTTCTCAGAATTCTGAGATTAACTTTAATTTCAGAATTCTGAGATTAACTTTAATTTCAGAATTCTGAGAAAAAAAATCAGAATTCCTTTTATTTTTTCAGTGGCCCTAATCCTCTTCCGTAAATATCAGTAATGTGCTTAAAGTCAAAGTTTCTTAAACTGAACTCATTTTTTTCAAACAACTTTATTGATCTTTTAACCAAATGTACCATCAGATAGACTACACAGGCTGAAGCGTGAGAGACAGAACCACAGCAGATGGGCCCCAGGCCATCTCCTGAAACATACAAATATCAGCTGTTTTCTTAAAAGTAAGAAAATTAGTAAGGCCTCCACAATGTCTTCTAATTAAATGTTACTTTTTAACATGTCATGAACACACCAATCTTTTTTTATTTGTTTTTTGCTTGCCAGTGGTTTTAATAAGTTAGCATTGCTTCTGAGACAACAAAAAGAAACTTTACAGACGATTACTTGGCAACGTGTCTTCAGCTCAATGGATGAAGATGACAACCACCGTCAGTACAAACAGAAAAAAGCCTACATTAAAAGGCCATACAACAACAAAAAAATGAAACATATTACAGGTGCTTGGATTTGTACTTTTTTTTGAGACACCCAACAATAAAGAAATGTGAGTCCGGCTTAACGCATATCCTAATATATATCCACTGAAATTGGCAACAAGTTGTGTCTCCMTTCATTCCTCCCACCCCACTTACTGGATGCTGTTCCACACTGACACTGTCCAATAAACAGATAACACCCAAAGTTAGAGTTAGAAGTGGCTCCGGCCTGGATCCGTCCAGTTCAGACTTCACAGAGGGCTTAGTTGATCTCCTGGTAACAACCCAGTCTCTGATCTTTACCCCTGCAAACTGCTGCCACTGTCCCCACAGGCCATCTGAAACAAGGCATCCAGACAACAAGCTTTAGGGTGGTCGGTCAGTCTAATGTCTGCTCAGTGGCACTACAGCAGGCTGCCTGGCCAAGAGACGATGGTCAGGGTGATCTTTCCCCGAAGCTCCTTCAGGAGTCGAACCAAAGCCGTGTGTGTCATACCCCATGTGCTCTTCCCGTTCACTTCAAGCAGGATGTCCCCACATCTGCACAGAGGTAGAGATTTGATTTTTCAAAACTAAAAAAACAAAAAAACTGCAGGGTCAGCTAATCTTTAGGCCAGGTCTATTCAACTAAATCGCTCCGGGGTCCACAGTTAATGCAGACCAACAGCRGAGGAGCCGAACATCCAGCAATTAAAGTTATCATGTAAATAAACCAAGTATTACAAAGATCTGTTACCTTTGAAATAGCTTATTTTGCTGCATTTAATCATAAAAACAACATACAGAACCCTATAAAAGTAGAGATAATTAAACAAAAACAAAAAGAACACATTATGCCTCCTATTTGACACAAATATCACTTTAACATCTCTGACTTGCCAAATTTTTTTAAACCAATTTTATTTCATTTTCATAGTTTTATCTTCAACTGCTTGTAGTTTTAACTGTCTTACCCCAGATTTACACTACATGCGACTCTGCTGCGCTGCGCAGTTCACAACTGTTCGTTTGCAACGCAATTCATACAGCATCCGCTCTGCTCAGCTCCGCTCTGGTGCGACACACAGAGCAGGAAGGAGATCACGCGATAAAAGTGATAAATGTGGAAGTCYGAGCAAAAAATAATTAATTCTGTGAAAGATGAACTGCAAACACAGCTGAAAACATTGGGCCTAATGCAAGAACCATTGGTACGCACAGATTTGTTCTTAAGTTGTGCGTACGAGTGATTTAGGAGAATTTGTG